CGCGTCAGATTGACTTCCTTTCCGTGCCCGTTTCGGCTTCATCGGGCGTACTAACTGCCAACTTTAGGTGTGTGTGCAGGGTCTGTACGCGCCTCATTTACGTGCACTTGAGAAACGTGAAAAACACGAAAAATTGATGTAGATTTTTACCCGGGTGGAGCAGTGCGGGTGGGTTGCATAGTACAAAAGTGCGCGGCGTGAATCAGCCAGCTGGTATTTGTAAGGGCGATCTTGTTAACGGAATACTAAAACAATTTCTGGTACGAAATTTTCGGTTACTGTTTTAAAATTAATGTCATTTAAAAAAAAACATATTTATTAACATTCTCTACTGATCACAACGTTGTACATTTTTCTCTAAGCACCCTTTGGAAAACGTTATTTGGGTGGTCACAACGATCAACACCCTTATGTAAATTGACAGGCCAATGGATGCGAGAGGTGCCTTATGGAAATTATCATTAATAAATATTCGAAGAAAGGCGAAGAAGAGAGGCACCCTCGCGGTGGTCTGGCCCACAATTCACATGCGGAGATCTTTGGGATATCTGTCCATCGCGGCTGGGCTCGGTGTTCACGCATAGGGCCCTGGAACATAGAGTGTGTTGATTAGATTTCTGGTGGTCGTTTGGCGACTCATAAGTAAGCAGACCCCTTTGTCCGTACCTCCACTCGCGGGGCCGGCTGAAGAGTAGCTGTCTGACGCACTGTAGCTTGCTGACGGGGCGCCGTAGCTAGCTGACGGGGCGCCGTAGGTTGCTGATGGGGCAGCGTAGCTGGCTGATAGAGCTCCGTAGCTGGCTGACGGAGCAGCATAGCTAGAGCTTACACTGCCGCCACCATGGCCTCCAAAGCTGGATGAGCTGGAGGCACTGAAGCCTGAGCTGTGGCCGCCGCTGAGGCTGTCAGAGGCGTCGTAGCTTGACGAGGGAGCACCATAGCTAGAGGAGGGCGCACCGTAGCTAGAGGAGGGCGCACCGTAGCTGGAGCTGAGCCCGCCACTGCTGCTGTGCCCGCCGCCAAAACTACTAGAGCTAAAGCCACCGAGGCTCCCTGAGCTCAGAGATGGCGCACCGTAGCTCGACGAAGGGGCGCTATAGCTAGACGAAGGTGCGCCGTAGCTTGAGCTCGGCTTACTGCTGTGGCCGCCACCAAAGCTACTGGAGCTAAAGCCACCGTGACTCCCCGAACTGAAAGACGGAGCGCCATAGCTGGACGAGGGAGCGCTGTAGCTGGACGAAGGGGCGCCGTAACTAGATGAGGGGGCTCCGTAGCTCGAGCTCAGTCCTCCACCACCGTGACCTCCAGAGCTGAAGCCTCCGTGGCTGCCACCCGAAATGCTGCTATGGCCACCGGAACTGAATCCACCATGGCCTCCAGAGGACGGTGCGCCGTAGCTCGAAGAGGGGGCCCCGTAGCTGGAGGATGGAGGGCCGTAACTGGAAGAGGGGGCCCCGTAGCTGGAGCTGAGCCCACCGGAGCTAAAACCGCCGTGACCTCCTGAGCTGAAACCACCATGGCCGCCAGAGCTGAAACCACTGTGGCCACCTGAGCTGAAACCACTGTGGCCACCCTTGAAGCCCTTCGATCCGCCGCCGAATCCACCCTTGAATGAACTGAAACATAGAGAAAGAAACTAGGTCACCAACAGTAGTAGAGGCGTGACAGGGCACGGACTTCAAACAGCCCGCAACATCTGTGGAGAGCCCCTACAGAGCCAAGGGTAGGCAACCCATCCAGCACGAGAAGCTTATGGGTAGTCTGACGCCATGGCGTTCAGCCTGGTACAAGAAACTGAATAGTAGACGTTCAAAATAAAATGACGCAACTGGCAATTTTGGCACTATTTTCTACAATTTTTGATTAACATGTAGTTAAAATAGTAGTAGTCTCAAAATTTTACTACTTGTAGAGAATACGAGCTACTGACCCCTGTGAATGCGTTGACAATTGAGATATTTGATAGTTAAAATGTATCCTTTTGTATTGAAAGGAATGACTCCTTTCCGAATTCTACTCAGTCATTTGGAATACCGCGACTTTTCACCTTTTTTGCATTTCTCTTTTACGGGAGATATTCCTTTAAAATCCAAGGATCACCTTGAAATGAATCCCTCACTGTTCATTCTGTCTGAACATCTTCAAAGAGTAGGAATGGAAATAGTATTTTAATCCCCCTCAAAACTAATGATTTTGAAGTTAATCCATTTTTTCGCATTCTGAGCTCATTACCTACGCTTCGTCCTGGCAATGTAATGACTGATCGTGCCGACATTAAGTATTGCAATAATGGAGTAGGTACTAATACGTCGAAATGTGCGCCGCGCTGGCTGGCGAAGCTATCTCCTCTGAAGCCAGAGTGCTGAAAAATCTCACGAGGTAAGTTTTTGAAAGCCTATGGTCTACTGCAACTAATGCTGCCCTTGTTTTGAGTGTAGCATCATTTAAACTGGAGTTACGCCGGCCCAAACGCCGCAAATCCGTTTTAGGTCATGTGCACCGTGCACCCCGTGTTTGTAGAGAGAGATGGACAGAGTGAGCGTCGTGTTTCTTCGAAAGGGACCTCTGGATTATAAGTCTTAACTTCAAATTCTTATTTTTGTTCACAACCGTTCAGCCCCTGAACGTCTCAGTCCCAAACGGTGATTATTTCATGGACATTTACGACCCTCACTCAGTCTGTCTCTCTCTACAAACACGGGATGGATGCACATGGCGGAAAACGGATTTGCGGCGTTTTGGCCGGCGCAATGTCCGCAAAGTATCAATTACCACACCTACACTGGACCAATGATTTAATTTGGGTGAAGTGAGCCACTCCGCAAATTCCGACTCACCTAAAGCCCTTAGGCGGGCCATAGCTGCTGCTGGGTCGTTTGCTGAATCCACCACTGAAGCTGGAGGGCTTGCTGAAGGAGACACCGCTACTGAAGCTGGGGGCGCCGTAGCTGCTGCTGGGTGGGCCGTGGCTGCTTGGGGCTCCATAGCTGCTGCTGGGGGGTCCATAGCTGCTGCTTGGGGCGCCATAGCTGCTACTCAGGCCACCGCTGAAGCCCTTGAATCCACCACCGCCGAAGCTCCCTCCGCTGCTGTGGCCGCCGCCGTGGCCGCCGCCGTGGCCACCGCCATGGCCACCGCTGTGCCCGCCACCGCCCAGGACGGGGCCACTGTACGAGGCGGGCGGGCCATAGCTGCTGCTGACACCGCCTCCGTGGCCTCCACCGCCCCCATGGCCGTGGCCGCCACCACCGCCGCTGCTGATGACGGGTCCGGTGTACGTCGAGTGGCCTAGGTTGGCGCTGAGGTAGTCGCTGCCGCCACTGCTGCCCCCGTGGCCACCACCGTGACCGCCGCCGTGGCCACTGCCGTGGCCACCGCCGAAAGAGGGGGAATCGTAGCTAGACGGAGGGGCCCCGTAGCTGGATGAAGGTGCCCCGTAACTGGAGGAGGGTGCTCCGTAGCTGGAGCTCAGACCGCCACCGCCGTGACCTCCGGAAAACGAATCGTCTCCTCCAAAGTCATGGCCTCCACCGCCACCGCTGGGACCGTCGAGTCCAGGAGGACCATAACCTGACGGAGAAAACAACGGTCAGTGTGGAGAGAGTACAAAGGCACACGTCATCACATCTTGGCGCTCGGGAGGCCCGCCGAGGACCTATCGGAGGTGAGTTACTGCGGTGACGTCAGGCCACACACACTTTCGCTGCCATGAGCGGCCGCACTAGCCGCGGGCGCGGAGCTGTTGCGGGGGGCTATAACGACTCAGCATTCAGATTATGCGAAACTATTGCCTGCTTCCATTTCCACTTTCGCCCCGCATCGCGCCACGGCGTTGAAGGGGGAGTGGAAGAAGATCATATGGTCTCTGTCCACTTTGCATCGCAAAAAGCATGTTTCAGGAGGGTAAGGAAACGTCACATTCCGGAGCACATTTCAGGCGTGACTGCAATGAGCTACTTTACGAAAGAGAAAAACACTCGGAAAACGAAGGGTTTATATATGGTGCCAAGGTAGCAATACTGCATTAAATCTGCATTTCTTGTCGCATCTGAAAACGAAGAAAATGCGCGTATAGGCGCCGAAATTACGCGTTTTTAGACAGGGCACAAAAAATGCAATTTAAAAACTGCAGTTCACTCTATTTTGTTACCAAGGTGCCTTCACAAAGGCATTACAACTTCAGGAGATTGCAAAGTCACTAATTTTAGACGCATTTACGACTTTTTGATATAATTCCTGCAAAAGTGCGACCTTTAAACACACCTTTGTTTTCCTAGTGATGAGATATCTCAGCTTCCAGACCACCTCAAACACTGCCCCACCGACAGCCGCTCTTGGAGGCGCTCCCTTCCATGCTGTGCTTGATTATTCAAACCCCATAGGAAACCTCTTGCTCTACTTCTTATTACGGATTACTTATAAACAACCCGTGTAACAAACTGGCCTGTGTTTTTTCTGCCCCATTTCTCGTGTGCCACTTTCAACAGCGACAATACAACCAATTATAATGTTTCTCTGCCATCTCCAACTCAAAGAAATGGTGGCGGTTTTGGTCGGTCTGTCAATAATTAGACGAGTGGGGACAAGAGGTAGTCTTGGTCTGTGCGGCAACCTCGAATACACTGCTGTAAGATCTTTTCCTATTATTTGGAAACGGTCGTGCTGCGCTGGGCACAGAGGTTGAACGCACTATACACCCGTTACCCGTTGTTGCACGTGCCAGCAGGTGGGACAGATATAGAGGCAAGAATAGAAAGGAGAGAAAAGCGAAAGAGGCAAATACGTCTTGAGAGAGAGAGAGAGAGAGAGAGAAAAAAAAAACAGAGCAGCAGAAAGCGAGACACCGTATTGTATGGGGACCGTTACGTTGCCAAATATGAATCTGAATAATAGACGGCGTGAGCCTAGCAGTAGAGCTGTCAGCCTGATGACGCCCCACTACAAACCAATCTCTGAATAACTCGGTCTGATTGGGTGCTTGGTTTCACTTTCCATAAACACGGAGCAAGAGGGTCTAATGAGACCGAATCTCTCTCGCTGTCTCTCTCTATCTGTCTATCTCTCTCTCTCTCTCTCTTTCTCTCCCTCACTTACTCCCTCTCTCTTTCAAACACACACATTTTTACATCCGGCTTGCTAGTTGCCGCTTGCACTAGGCCGTCCCTTGAACAGGAACTCTTATTCCTTTTGTGAAATAGTGGGAAGGTTTACAGCAAAATTTTCCTCGACGCAAGTTGTAAAATTGTAATTTGCTGTCGTAAAAATACATGTAGTACGTATCGACTTAAAATCTGTTGACGAGTAAAACTTGTTGTCTCGTAAATTTACAACTTAAATTATAATTCCAGTTTAAATTGTTTTTGTAAATTTACGACGACATTTTTGCACAGTGGACTGTGAAAAAATTGAGCGTTTAAAAATGTTAAAGCTGGGGACGTTTTCCAGTGAAGTATGATAAAATGCGAGCGCAAGCCGTGTCAGTCTGCGCACAGCGCTGACCCTTTGCTTGAGAGGTCAGTCCCGGGCGGGGGCGGGGCGGCAGCGCTGCGCGAGAAAGCCATAGTGAACCTTCGCGCGACCCGTTGGGCCGTTAGTGTCGCTACACCAGGCGTGGCTCCGCATGCCGCTGCCAAGTCCAACCAAAAAGCTGCTTTTCCCGTAGCAGAGGCATTCTCTTTAAAACAAAAACAGGAGTTTTTTGAGAGACATACATGACACTATTTACTTTGATCCAAGAGAGACTACATTGTTTCTAGGAAAGTATTTTCTGGTGCGACTTCCGGTGTTCGGGAGAGTAGGTTATTGAAATCTAGTCAATTTTCTGAAACAAGGGCATGTACTCAGATCATTCGAGTGAACGCACCTGATTCAAGAAGTGAACTTGATTTGAAGTAACCACTTTTGTGGGAGTATAAGCCACGCTATTATTCGGTATACTCCCAGGCATACCGGAAATATACCCCGGGAGGTTGAAACCGGGGGTTGAATTCTCTAAACTAAGAGTTTTATAACCCCCTAGGACCTCTATACCTCAAAGGGTTATAGGACACCTGGAACATTCCCGGGCTGAACCACAAGTTTGCAGTGATTTTCTTTCCCGCCTAATAGTGAGGACGTCACCCCCGCCTCCACACGCCACCGCCATTAGCAGCTCACGTGACCCGGGAGGCGCTCGGAGATTGGTCAACGACCTGAGGTGGTGGAGCACCTCGTCACGGACCACGAGCCGCCTCAGCGCGCAGCGCTCCGAGGCATGATGGCCAGTACCCATACTCAAACCTAAAAAGAAAGTGAAGACACCATGCAGCCCGTGCATGCCTAACCTATGCGCGATTGCTTCTCTTTTACTCTACTAGCTGACGAGCTAATCAGAGTGTGCGAGCGCGTGTAAAAACTGAGAGAAAACCGAAAAATATAAAGAAACCGTTCTGCAGCGATACATTATTCAACAGCACTAGAACAGAGGATTTGTTTCAGCCAGCGCAGCGTTCTCTTTTAGAGCGTATTAAAATTTAATAATCAAGAGGCTGACGTCAAGATGACGGGGAGCTTCTGCGGGGCGGAAAGGCTTTTGCTGGAAGTTGTGTGAAGTCCTGCCCTACCCGTCACTGCCGGTCTGCGCCGGTGGGCCGGAGGACAGGAGCCGTACAATGGGAGGATAACACGCTGCAACCCCTGCGCAGCAGGCTGCAGGGAATGTTAACAGTGCTCGCCCATTGTTAAAAAATCTCTTTTAACAATCCGCTTCGTGAAAAATATCTCAGTAACATATTTTGTCTTTCCGATTTAGAAAATCTGATGTAAATTTACGACAGCCTATTCTTGATCGTTGAAGAGTCTCAAGTCGATACATAGTGCTTGTAACATTGAAAATTTGTAATTTCAAATTGTAACTATACAACACATAACGGAACATTCCCAGTAACCCTTACAAGTATTTGTTATTTGCAGGCAACAGCAGCCAAATGTTTA